TCGAAATCGTTGAGTTTAAATAACAACATATGCATAGTATGTGCGTAAATAGTATAGACACAGAACAGACATCGAAACCCGTCCAACACATTGTTTTCATTGATAGGCTGACCATTGGTTTTATTTACATTTCTATTTAACGAACCGCTGTTAACACTAATTAACTCAAAATAGTTACTGATTGGAGAAAAACAATTCAATATTTTATCCCATGTTTTATCGCTTTGGTATTGTTTGGAGTAGTGTTGGGCTAATAAGTGTTTAATTGTGGCCCAAAACAAAATTATCACCCAAACAACTATGATCGCGATAAATATAATTAAATCTAACATTCTGTAATAATCAATAAATGAACAGGCACATATGAACCAGAATAAATAATATGAATATTCAAACCGAGATATTATGTGCTTTACTTCACCCCTAATGAATATAGATAAATGTACAGTACATTTATATTTGAGTTTTGATTGAGTAATAAAATATACGTACAAAAATTGGGCCAATAATACTTACAATTAGAAGCCAGATTTTTGTTATATTGTAACAGACGTTATGTGATAGACCGATCTATTTTAATTAAAGGAATGTGGTATTAAATTAAAGGAAATTGATATATAGAGTTACATAATCATGTTCAAGACCGGTTTGAGGGAGGGCAGTGAACAAATTAATATGACATGATTATTGAATGACCAAGTCAATTTTTAAACTTTAATTCAAGATAAGCGTTACTGTATTTATTCAGTATATTCAGTATGATCTAGCTAAATTTCGCCAAAACTCTTAGCGAGTAGATCGCTTAGGAATACATTGCCGGCAACGGCGCCGCCATCGGGCATGATGAATGTGCCATTGATATATTGAGCATGGTCACTCGCCAGATATAGTATGGAGTCAGCGATGTCTTGGGGCTGACCGTATCGGCCGACCGGCAATAGATTAGTGTAAGACTCAAAATGTTTATCGGAGTCGGTCTGCGATACGCCCATCGCTAGGAGACAATCGGTGCGAACCATTCCAGGCCTATAATATTGACAATCATTATTCAGTTTATATTTTATCTAAATGAGTGTTTTTACCATATTAGGTAAGAAATTATAATTTTTTACACGTTTCGAGTAACAAATTAATATGACTGCAATTTTACAATAATTACATATATTTATTATCACATTTTTAATTATTCGTTTTTAGTCTCCAGAATGAAAATTTAAATCATATTTTATTTTAGCATTTAGACTTACACGACTGAGTTTGTGCGGATACGTTTGGTGGCCAACTCGCTTGCCATACACTTTGTGAACATATCCATCGCACACTTTGCCATACAATACGGGGTCATATCTAAGTACTGGTTGTTTAAAGTAAATTTTAACGTGATCAATGTATTTTAACAAATAAATTAACCATAACAAATATTTACTGCTATTTTTGCGCCAATACTCGAGATATTAATGATATTTCCTTTAGTTTTCTCCAAATACTCGATACAAATATGAGTTAAATAGACCACAGAATTGAGATTAAGTGCCATTATTTTCTCGTAATTCTCATAGAAATCCTTATCAATGGGTTTAGTGTTATGTATGGCTCCGGCGTTATTGACCAGAATATCAAGTTTACCGAAATGTTTAATAGTCTGGTCGACGAGACGTCTCATGTCGTCCTTATTGGTCACATCCGCCGCCACTTCCAGCGCTTTAATGCCTTTCGGCGATACTTTCAAACATTCTTTGGCCACTTCTGTGAGTTTGTCGGCTCTCCGACCGGTGACCACAACACTGGCACCCGATTGGGCGAAATGGACAGCAGTGGCCGCACCGATACCCGAACCCGAGCCCGTGATTAACACCACTCGACCCGTAAAATCATATTTAACAGACATTGTATTTATTATATGTTTGAAATATAATATCTATAGATAGTTATTAAAATGTTGTAACAGAAATTATGTTTACAATTTAATGCATAAAACACTTTTAAAAATTAGAAGTAAGTACCATATAATATCATATATATTATTAAGTTAATAGTTAATTTTATTCATTTATTCGCTTATTTTTAATATTAATAATATTTTGTGTACAGTTTGATTGAATTAAATTCACACAACGTTAAAAGCATTAAAAGGATGCGATGAAGGATAATTATTAATTTTAAAAATTTTAATTTCTATTATCCATCACCCGAATAAGTTGGTAACCCTAAAATTGCACTGCAACCCTTGATAAATAAAACCAATCATGCACGTTGTTATAGTGCAAGTTCTCTGAGTTTAAATTTTTGTACTTTTCCGGTGACAGTGCGGGGAAAGTCAGGCACAAACTCTATGCTCTCCGGTATCTTAAAATGACTGATCTGGAGATGAATTTAGATTTGGATCATGTTTTATGTTACATAACAATCACACTTATTATAGGTAACACACCTTTCCTTTGCAGTACTCCTTAACAGCTTCAGTGTCTAACGCGTCGTCGGCTTTAAGCTGAATATATGCGGCCAACCGTTCGCCCAGACGTTTGTCAGGTATTCCCACCACTTATTGGTGTGCATTATATTGTTATTTATATTATCAACAAATGAACACATGATATACGTGTGCGGCTGCGATGGACGGGTGGGTCATTAGAAAGTCCTCCACCTCTTTGGGGTATATGTTTTCGCCGCCTCTAATGATCATATCTTTGATGCGGCCATTGATATACAAATACCCGGAATCGTCCATAAAACCCATGTCACTACTCGTGTCAATAATAAGTATTGAGAGAGAGAGAGATCAAGATTGTAGAGCCGACCACCGGTGCAATACAACCGGTGGGTGTGTCGGGCAAAGTGTGCGTTCGTGGTCATTGTACGTGTTAAGGAGTACTGCAAAGGAAAGGTGTGTTACCTATAATAAGTGTGATTGTTATGTAACATAAAACATGATCCAAATCTAAATTCATCTCCAGATCAGTCATTTTAAGATACCGGAGAGCATAGAGAGAGAGAGAGAGAGAATTGCCGACCCAGTGTGATACCATCGACTTTTGTCGATCACCTCATCAGTTTGATCAGGCTGATTATAATAACCAAGAAACGTACAATGACCACGAACGCACACTTTGCCCGACACACCCACCGGTTGTATTGCACCGGTGGTCGGCTCTACAATCTTGATCTCCACGTGTTCTATGGGTCGGCCGACAGATTTGAGCCGACGCTCAGGCGAATCGTTCAGCGATATATGGGTCACAACTGGACTGCATTCAGTGGCTCCGTATATGATCTGTCATTAGTTTAAACGGACAGTGAATGTAAATATAAAAATTGTTGTCAATTGTTGTAAATAATTGCTTTATTACTGACCAAAATGTGTGCGCACGTGGGTATACGCTCATGGATCTCATCCAGCAGTGGTGGTGAAAAGGTTGATCCCCCCATTATACCTGTGATATGTGTGTGTGAATTGTTAGTATATCATCAGTTTTACATAAAGCTTTATAATATCCGGTGGTCTAAAAAATCAGTTCAAGATTTTTGTTGAATCTCTCAAACAAAATGAGTTATATTCAGGGATTGAGGGAAGGCTTTATTATACTACGCCTACTTCATCAGTACACATACCTCTAACCAACGAACTTGTATTATATTTAGTGAGATCGCAGGCCAGTATATCCACAAACATTGTAGGCGTACCATATACCATGTGACACCTTCAAGTAACATCAATTACTCCGCAATTACTGTATAAATGAATAATTTATAGAAATCTAATTCATACTTGTATTTATCGATCGCCTCAAGTGTTTTGTTTGCGTTGAATACAGGGGCCGGCAATACCATTGTGGCCCTCCGGAGGGCAATCAGAAGTGATCCCACTAATGACCCGAAACTGTGATACAGAGGGTTTGGTATGCATACTGTCAGGCCGTTCAGCTCTAGGCCTTCCAGCGATCGTTTGCTCACTAAATACGCGTTTTGTATAATATTATGATGGGTTAGTGTCGCCGCCTTTGGGTTCCCGGTTGTGCCCGAAGTGAACTGTATGTTAATCGGGTCGTCAAACTGTATGGTCGGGTCGTCGACACACTCGCGGCTGTCGTTGACCGCTGCCATCACATCATTGAAACGGGGTATGTGTTTGGGTGCCGTTTCCGGCTCATCGTCGCCGCTGTTTATTACTATTATATTCTTGAGACTCGGAATTCTGATTATAATTATGATTAGTTAAAAGTTATTTTAATATGTTAAATTTAGATTATTTTATCATTGCAGCAAAAAACACTGATTACAATTCTATGCAATTAAAATAAAAGGCTAGCGTTACCAAAAGTTCTCGATTGCCCATAGGAATTCCAGGAATTCTATACAAAATCTCACGGAATCTCTCCAAACAACTTACTTAACAATGAATATATCAAGGAATGTGGGGAAATGACCTGGCAACACTATCACAGACATGTAGTTTACTCACTTATCGCACTGAATAGCGTTGCCATCGGTATTGTTTTGCAACAGTTGTGGTGATATATTATTTAAAATTTCACAGTAATTACTGGTCCGAAACTGTTGATTACATATTAGGGTATGACAGCCGACCAGATTCATCGCATACTGGAGCTCATTGGCCCGATAGCCAGGGTTTACATTTACCTGTTAATTAAATTGTTAATAAGAGATAAAGAATTATGGAAACATTTATTATAGAAAATTCAATTTTAACTGATTTTATATTTAATTTTAAGTATATTTCTATTATGCGTTAGGAATATACAAATAAAACTTTATATATAACGCAAAATAAGAATAAATAATGCATACCATTATAGCTCCAATTTTAACGGTGGCATATTGTGTAACAACCCATTCATAGCAATTGATGGCCCAAATGCCCACTCTGTCACCCCTTCCGCATCCCAAACCCTTCAGACCAATGGCCAACTTATTTGCCTGCAATTTATAGTCAGTTTTATTTCAACAATCAATTAAAATGTGTTTAAATCTTTTATATTCATTAAAAACGTACAATATTTCTAAATTGCTCTAAAAATAAAATACTTAAAACATTAATTACGTCAGAATTAAGTTCGGCATATGTTTTGGTGATGTGTTGGTGAGCGGACACGACAGCCGTCCGGTCGGGCGAGTCCTCAGCGCACTCTCGGATTAATTGACCGATTGTTTGGCCCGACAGGGGCTCCAGTGAGGGCTCAAACGCGTAACTATAGCCCGATGTTTGACGACTAGTGGTGGAAAAAAATTAATTTTATACTTAAAACTTTTACATTTTTAACTTATTATTTAATTCATACCTTATAGAAGACATTTTTATTTATAGAAATTGGTTATATTCTGTATATTAGATGATAAAGGTTATAGATTAATAATTCACGTGTAATTAATAATTTTATTAATCTTAATCAATGAATCCTATTAACTATCACTACATATATTGTATGGTTTGATATATATTGGATGTGATTTTGTGACTGAATTATTTGGGTTGGGACAAAATTACGTCCACAAAATGACAAATTCAAGCATAAGTGCTTAAATAGTTTTAAGCCTTTGCAACATTCAAGCATTTTGCAGGATTAGATTTATGCATTTTTTTGATGAAGGATTGTTACTCTGTATAAATTATTACAGTGCTGAAACTTTAAAATAAATTTCTTGATTTAGCAATCAATAGATAAGATAGTTAGTTTTTATTTTGTTAAACTAACCGGCATTCACCTAATGCCATATGTTATGGCCATTACATAATGTCTGTTCTGTGTTTAGGCAATTAAAATATTACCGTAGTATATATATAGGTGATTGAATTGTCTAATTAACCACTTGTATTATAATATTATCTAAGCAAAAGAACTGTCTAAAATTTCAATTAAATTACAAATAAAATAATTAAATAATTATTTAAGAATAAACATTTTACACAATAAAACTCGTAATGATTATCACAGCTTACCTATTATGAAAACACATGTAAAATCGGCTTAAAATAGCCCTTATGTTTAGCTCTACAGACGCTATTTTATGTGAAAATGCAAAGGAAATGCTATGAGTGATTAAATTATGAGTTATACACTTATAAATTATACACTTTATAACATATGATTCATATGATATGAATAAAGCAGTCAAAAATAAATGATGTTAAATGTATATGGGCAAGAATTGCCTCTCGAGCCGCAGACGAGCCGTTATTGCATTATAATTTATACTTATCTATTCTATAATAAACAATGATTCATATATAAAGTAACATTCATTTAGAATCGGGGTACTATTTATATCAGGGAATAGATTATATCAGGGATTAGAATCGGGGTACTAGACATATTAATATTAAATACTAAAGGGTAAACTATACTTACAAATAGCGTAACATTTATCATGAGTAATGTATGATAGATTACCAAGTTTAAAAATTAATCACGTCTACATATTCGAGTTTGGCAATCACTGTTTATAGGTAAAAATTTTAAGGTATAGATAGGCTATCTAAGATAGCAATTGAGATGTTTTGTCATTGTTTTTTAAATTGTTGAATTTTAACTCTACTTATCGGTGATAAACACGATATCAATTTGTTGTATATTTTGTAACGAACAATAAATTAAATGAATTTGACTAATACTGTAGAATAAGTATTATTCCTTTATACTTACTTTGTTAGCATTACTTCCATAGAACCACTTTATCCAAAGACTTAGCATTGCCATAGATTAACATGTAAAACCTATGTTATAGACATTGGCCATAGAATTAGCATTAGTCTAATAGATTTAACATTCCCATATGCTTAATTTTTTTATTATTAGTTTCATAGATTTAGCATTGCTCATGTTATTATTCTGTTTAAGGGTATCCAGATTTAAGAGATAAAATTATTCATTCCCCTTATCAACCAATTTGGAAGTTATAGAATAACTTTAGATTATTTCTATTTAATATTTGACAAATTGACACTACTACAATTTTTTATGTACAATTATCAAATGTATACTTATTATCAATAAATTATTGATATACTTTATTTTATTACTAATAAAATTCCAATTATTACAAATAATTTATAATATCATAATACAATTATATTATATAATATTATTATATTTAAATAAATATTTTTAAAGTTTAGGTATTATACGTATTTTGAAGAATTTGAGAGCATTTGAATTGATTAAAGTCATTTAAACAAGATATTTTATTTTAATATACTAGCCACCAGCCATTAAGTCTGCTACACATTTCATCATTTTATCCCCCTCTATAGTTTTCACTACCCTCCCACCCCCTATTGTATGCTATTACCTATTGTAATTTGTTTACTATTTTCCTGCCTACATCCAAATGTAAATATAATTTTTATTTTACTTTATTTAAATAAATATAAATATTTAGCTTATAATAAATATTAAATATTGAAATATTCAGTAATGGGTATTTGTTTTTGCTCGTTGAATTTAATGTAAAAAACTTTTCCTAAAATACTTTTTTCTCAATAAATAAATGTTTAACTTTATTTTAAAATATCTGCAAATATTTAATACAGAATTTACATCAAATTCACTGATTGTTAATGTTTTAAAAGTTTTTCAAAATAACTAATATTTAAATAACATTTATAAATTCTTACTTTAATCTACAGGTATACTAATTGCCAATACTATTAATTATTACCGAAGGGTAATATCAATTATTTATACTATTATTTAATCAATAGGTTTCCATTAATACCAACCAACGGTCACTTATTTGATTTTCTGGGCTTTTGTCGTCTCATTTTGCTTTTCAAACAGATATTTGGATACCATTTGTTGCAATTTAATCGCCGGTAACTCAAACACCAGCGCTAACGGAATCGTCACAACAAAAATGCTGCAAAATAGCAACAAAGCAATCATCGGTGATATAGTGTGTTGTTCGGGCAGAATAGACGTTAGGGTTATTAATAGCGGGACATGAAATTGACATAACGTCTGATGTGAGGCACGCATTGGTCGCCAATACCGGGCGGACATGAATCGGGTTAAACGGCCCCCACTTTCGCGACAGTATATAACGGCATAACACGAGAGCAACGATACGAACAAATCGGTTGAACACCTCTCCCACGCACTGAAAACCGGGAGTTCGCCCAACAGTGCAGACGCTCTCAAGTATCCAATTATGGTATTGACGACCACAACAAGCGATAACATTAAACACGTTTTAGACGCTAATCTGCTTTTGTATATTATTTTAGAATAGCCATGATCAATTAAACATGCTAGTAACATTCCGTTCAAATATGTTGCCACGTAGCTCAATGGATTGGTGTATAATAAATGGGATGTACCATTTTCACGACTGTTCACGTATATAATTAATCATGTTGTAAAATAAATAAAATATAAATTAATAGTCTGTTAACAAATGAGATAATATTGCAAGAATTGATCATGAGCATTAAAATTATTGGTTACTAACAATTGGACAGTGAAGGGATTATTTGTAAAATTGATGGCACTATTACTCGACTCATTTGTGATACCGTATGAATACATTGTATAAAATGTTTTGATTGCCAGCAAAACATTGATTATAATTATTACCAAAACTCCTTTCTTGAAATATCTAAAAAACCAAAATACTATTAAATTAAATGCATTTCTATTGGGTTATATAACTTATTGTATGCACTGTATGTGAATAATATACAGTAACTTTGTAAGTTAATACAGTTACCTGCAAAGCAATATCACAAATGGTGGCGTAAATATGGTGAGTAGGATGAATACATCCATTGACCAATGTGCAGCCAAACACTAAACATAAATGTTTTAAAATTTAAAAATATAAAATCTTGAATATAAAATTTTTAAGATTGTTACCCATCCGTTGACATAATATCCAATAAATAATGCGTTAAAAATCCAATTCTCTGCACAAAAATTAATCACTCGTTTGTCGTAATATCGATCGGAAATTAAATGATTGACAAAAATTATATAAAAATAAAGGGAGAGATAATATATGGGAACAATTCGTGTGATTCTAT